ATAGCATGCACTTTTTTTAAATAACACAAAAACAACTTGTGGTATTTACTTAAAATTAATTTCAGATACACACAATTCAATATTTCAGCCAATAATTCAATATTTCAGCCATTTCACAACATGCTTCGACAAATGAATACATTTCCAATAAAGTTCTCTATTATTTCATATCTGTTATTAAGAATGCACACATGCTGGCTTCCTGCGTCTCGGAAACAATAATCAAACGAAGAAAATATGAAAAAAAAAATAATAATAATCCCAAACGGATATGTACAAATGAATGGTACGTGCTTATCATAATCAACATCATCAACAATTTGTGGTAATTAGAAATTTGAGTACATCTAGACTCGACTCTATACTTACTGATTGCTGTTGTAGTAGTAGTGACCACAAACATAGTAAATGGTCACACACACACACAAAACACATAGAAAATTTAGTCGAACAAAATTAAAGATGACCGGATGTGGAATAATATAGCAAATGGAAGATTTCAATAAATCGAAATTGTTCTAATTGTGTACTGATCAAGAAAAACATTTTTTTAATTCGTTAGAGGATATATTTTTTGTACAAAAAAAATACTTTCTATATTACACTTAAGTTAAAATCCATACTTATTTAAAATATTCCAATCGAAGAGTATCGTATCCAGCTGCAAATGTATTTTAGAAACGCTATGGGAGCTATAATTTTTGTCTAATCAAATTCAGATTTTTGTCGATTTTTTATACCCTCAGCCGTATGGCTAACGAGGGTATATAAAATTTGATACGGTCAAAACGTGCCTAGGTCTCCTTGGACCAAATCCGTTTCAGAACATTTGGAGTCGATCTAGCGAAGTCCGTCCGTCCGTCTGTCTGTCTGGCTGGTGCGCAGGATAACTCTCGAAAGGAGTATCCGATTTTGTCCAAACTGAGTACATCGTAAAAATTTTGTCAAACTTAGATCGGGTTCGGAGATGGGCAATATCGGTCCACTCCTTTTGGTACCTCCCCCACAAAAGGTCGAACTTTTCAAAAAATATATTTTTTGCACAGAAAGAGAAAGTATAATTTTGCTCCAACTTTGCAAACCCTAATATTTGCGTCAGTGCTAGGTCAGGCGTGAAAATGGACAATATCGGTCCACTCCATCAAGTACCTCCCCCACAAATGGACACAATTTTGAATAATAAAAACTCTCATAAAATGTGATGTAAGAGTCCGATTGTCTACAAATTTCAGACATCCCAATATTTATATTAACTAAAGGTCTGGTGTTAAGATGGACAATATCGGTTCGAAAAGTGAAGAAGTGACTTGATCAAAACCCGAGCTGAACGTATTGCAATATTCCATTCGCCAAATATTGAAAAATGAGTTCGGTGCAAGAAGTGCAAGAACTTACACCACAACGGAAAGAAAATAGACTTAAAAGAGCTAAAAAGTTGCTTCGCTTGGTCGAAAGTGGTGAACTGCCGAATTTATTTTTCTCCGATGAGGAAACACTCGTTGCCCAACAGTTTGTAAACAAACAAAATGATCGTGTTTACTTGCGAAGAGGTCAGCTGAAAATGTGCATTTTCGGTTGGCCACCAGAACTCAAGTGCCGGCTACGGGGATGGTATGGGCCGATGGTCGCTCTCCGCTCGCATTAATCGACAATGGCATCAGAATAAATGCCGAATATTATCACGAAAATATTCTGGAGAGAGTACTAAAGCCTTGGGCACGCTAACATTTTGGCCTCAGATCTTGGACATCCAACAGGACTCAGCACCATCGCACTCTGTTGGATTGTTGTGTCTGGAGTATTTTGGAAAGCAAGGTTGGCACTAAAAAATACCAAAGTGTCGATCACCTCAAGCAAGCGCTTCGCCGGGAATGGGCCAAAATATTGCAGAGCACCATTCGGGCAGCGTGAGACGGTTTCATAGGCCGTTTGAAGGCCATAATTCGTGCCAAAGGTGACCTATTCGAGCAAATCTAAATTTATTCTAAAATTTGATGATGTTTCCGACATTTTTGCTGACAACGTGTGACGGTTTCATTGGCCGTTTGAAGGTCATAATTCGTGCCAAAGGTGACCTATTCGAGCAAATCTAAATTTATTCTAAAATTTGATGATATTTCCGACATTTTTTGCTGATAACGTGTGACGGTTTCATTTTCCGTTCGAAAGCCGTAATTCGGGCCAATGGTGACCAATTCGAGCAAACCTAAATTTATTCTAAAATTTGATGCTATTTCCGACATGTTTTGCTTTCATTCAATAAAATTTAAAAAAATGTAAAATTTATGGCGTTTGCCTTTGTTGCAGTTTTTTTATCTCACTCTGTACTTCTGAAATTGGCTTAAGTTGAAGTTTTATGTTTCCCGTCAATATAATAAACAGTGAAATAATTAGAAGATATGTGAGCCAAAGATAAGAGACAAAAAATTGTTTCTGAAATCGACGCCTGAAATGCAAGCTGACCAAAGGAAATCACGATAAAGGTGATACAAGTAAAAATAGACAGGCTACAAATGAGGATGATATAGCCTCAAATATGAAGATGGTGAAGAGAGGGGAGGGGGGAGAAGTTTGATAGAGGGAATTTGAATATGATCGGATACTTCTTGTCATCTGTTGCATGCAGTAAGTGTATTTCTAATAAGGATTTCTCGATTGATATAATTGCCGTCAGTTCAAAAGCTGTCGCTGTTGAGAGTCCTTTTAATCACCTACAAAACTTAATTCCAATATACGTTTTTTTAGATATTTCGTAGTGAGTTTCCAATTGTGAGCATCTCTATTTCTTTCATATCTGCCTTACTGAAATTTAAACTTTAGTTTTGAAATAGTTTCAAATTCTATCTCTGTTTTTATATCCTACAACACTATGTGTTGGGGGTGTTATAAGTTTGATTGGGCCAGAATTTATGTAACACCTCGAAATATTGGTTTCCCATATAGGAAAGTATATATGGATCTTCCTAGCTACCCGAGCTGAGTCGACCTAGCTATGTATGTCCGTCCGTCTGTCCACGTTAATTTGTAATCACGCTACAGGTCGCAATTATGGCCCGATCCTTACGAAGGTGGGGTTAGGGTCAGAATAGAAGCCTATTGCTTTTGGAGATGATCGCCAAATGTTTAGGGGTTGAAATGGACCAAATACTGAAAAAATGTCGGATTTTGCAGTAGCTATACAGTTCGCAATTATAGACCAATCGACGCGGAATTTCGCATGTAGCTAGAGTTTAGGGCGGGGAAGAAGCCTACCAATTTGGGTCATCGGATAATATTTAGCGGGCAAAATAGACCATATCTTTTGTGTTGAAAAAATTCAAAATTTTTCATTAAACCGCGAATATTTTAAATCCCGGCGAAATCACAAATCCATGACAAGGTTACTTCTGATCTTTACATTAATGTTAACATCCAACAAAACGGATATATAGCAAAATATGTGCGATATATATGTCTATCAAAGAAGATATGCTTGAAAGATCTCTTATATGTGGAGAACGGCTGAACTGATTTCGACAGTTCTCATTAATTCAGAATGGCCTCTTGGCAGGAAAGAAAAAACGTCTAAAAAATCGCATAAAAATATCTCTCTAAAGATGAAAATATTGATTTTGTAAATTTTCTCATATTTTCTCAATTTTGTCATATTTTTGGCATATTTTCATTTTGAATTAAACATTTGGTAATATTTCTACAGCTAACAAAACTAAGTAGTTAGGGTATCAGGATATCATATACAGATCGCATTTATGGCCCGATCCTTACGAAATTTTGTATGGAGCTAAGATGAGGGTCAGAATAGCATACTCTTTTTGGAGATGATCGCCATATATTTAGGGGTTGAAATGGACCAAAAAACTGCAAAATTGTCTGCAGGTCGTAATTATCGCCCGATCCTCACGCACATTTGAATGGGGGTTACCGGACATTGCAAAAGCCAAGCAGTTTTGGATGGCCATCCAAAAATATTCAATGTGTGAAATAGTTTGCAAACTTTTGTAGACAAAATACGAAAATGTCCATTCCAGTGACTTTTTGGAGAATTCACAAATACAGGAAAGACGCACTTCTGACTATTTCGTTAACGCTGATTTCGTTGAAGAATATAGTCAAATGCCTGTATCTCATATAGATGCGTTTCAGTCAAAAACCAATAATAAATGTTAATATTTTGCCACTTCTGAGAGATTATAGGTCTTTGGGAAATATTGGTTCCAGATCTAGGAAGACCATTTACGTGCAACATCTACCAATAAATTGGAAATGAGCAAATTAGTTTAAGTTGCTATTATTCGAAAATTAGAGAACGGAACCTGATGGTTTTCTTTTATTATTTGTCACAATAGGCGAGTATCTCGCCTATATAAACTGTATCGTTTATTATAGTGTTGTAGGGTATTCAACGGTCGGCCCCGCTCGACTGTAGCCTTGCTTACTTGTTTCTAATTAATTAGAAGTAGCACGATAATAATTTTTTGAGCAGCTCTCTAAAATCAATTTAGAATACCACTATTTGTCTCATAAGATTTAACGAATTCAGTTTTGCAAAGCAAATTTTCATTCTTCATAAAGTAATCGAAGTGCTATATTAAAATTAATTAAAAATTTCCAAGTTTGGTTTTCCCTTAAATCGACCATAATATTTTAATCCCTTCACAAGGATTGTATGTTATTTGTCGAATTTAGAGTATCATTTTTAAAATTTTACCATATATTTATTTGTAATTTGAAAATCTTCCAGATGCAATTTCCACATCCGATACAAATTAAACGAAACAAAAAATAAAATAAAAACAAATAAAACATGCTAAACAAATAGATTTCGGGTAAACAAAACGCAGTTAACACAAAAAAAAAAGATGCAACAAAACATAAGTAAACAAACGAGCAACAAACACAGTTGTAAAACGTCGTGCAACATCATGCACATGTAGACAAGTTTGTATATCCATTAACTACTGCCCTGCTGTGAGGCAAGTTACTTGGAGGAAGGTACTCACAGTCTGTGGCATGGAGTTGTTAACGGAAGAAGATCCGGTGTTTTGATTATGTTGCTGTTGCTGCTGAGACTGGGGATGTTGCAAGAAAACCAATGGCCCAACAAGATTGTGGGCAGGCGATCCTGTTGAATTTCCACCCGAAATTACTGCAGCCTTGCCGTGAACCATCAACGACTTGGGTTGCTGGACAATGGCTGGAGCTTTGGTTGAGGACGTGGAAGCCGAAGAAGCCACACAACTATTATCGAATTGATAATACATGACATCGGTTGCTGGTGCAGCACCGGCATACAGATTACTGCTACTTGCTGTGTTGCTATTCGCTTTGTAACAATTCGGAGGTAATGGATCTGCTGTCTGGGCCCCGGAAATATGATAGGCGGTTGGTTGTTGGGATGGTTGTGTTCCGGATTGTTGTTGGTGTTGTTGCTGCTGTCCGGCAGATTGTGTTGACATCTTGTTGCTGTTCCTGCTGACAAACTCTGGCATGTGTGGCATTTTATAATTGTAAATAAATGGTGGCTCATATTCATTTTGATTTGCTGCCGCCGCCGATGATGGATAGGCCAGGAATAGATCCGATTTGGCCGGATGTAAGCGAGAATTAAAACCAATGCCCGGATATTGGGCACTTATCAAAGGATAACCTATACTGCCCAATGGTGGATAATTACCAGCACTGCCTCCGGTCAAGAGTTGAGTCTTGGTAATGGCTTGGCCGGACAGACGTCGCGTGGGTACCCCCAAATCGGATTTGGCATCACGCTTCTTGGCATGTACGGCCACCGAAGAGGGTCCCTGATAATAGTAGGGGGCAGCTGGGGTATTTGGCCATTCTACAAAATGATCAACATGATGGGGAGTATTAGTAAGGGAACCACCACCACTTCCGCCACCAGCTATACCACTATTACTACTATTGGCACTAATACTACCATTACTGCCCCCCGCCACAGGCCGTGTTGCATTGTTCAGACTGAATTTATATTGATTGTTCTCAAATGTGGTATAATTCAGCAAACGATGGCTGGGCATTGATTTCTCTCCGCCGCCAGTTGCTCCGCCACCATCCTTATCTGTACGTTGTTGCTGTGATGATGCAGTTGTCTGGGTTGTGGGCTGCCAGATGCAGTTTGGGAAATTGTGCGTGACAGGATGGTTCATTGGTTGTTAGTTAGTAGAGAGTTGGTTGGTTTGTTGGTTGTGTGTTTGAGAGGGAGGCATGAAACAAAGGTTGGCATATGGAAATGTTAATTTTTTTTTTTATTTTATTTTTCTAAGAGCAAAAAACCTAAAGTTGAGGAGCTCGTCAATTCCACAACATTTGGTGTTAATGGCATTAAGGCTACAACGACTAACATAAACCAAAAACTGAAAAAAAACAACGAATTGTGTTCTAAAATAAGGAATCATTTACCGTTACTAGATGACTATTAACTGCTGCACCACAGGATGTATTAACGGATTGATGTTGGTGATGTGACTGATGCTGTTGTTGCTGGTTAGTGGTTGGGTATTTGCTGTAATTTGGCTTGGTTGGGTTTGGCGTTTGGTCATGGCGTCTATTGCCATAAAATGAGTTTTGTCGATGTTGTTGTTGTTGTTGCTGCTGCTGTTGTTGTTGCTGATGATGATGTTTTTGATTACTCACAGTCTGTTGCATAAGGCTATTGTAAGCTTGGGAATTACCACCTCCATTAATGGAGGATTTACGATGGCTACCGCTAGAGGCCCCAGAGGACTTGTTAGTACCATACCGTGTACTATCACTTGATCTAGACGCGGTGTTTTTTTTGTTAATATTTGTATATAAAACAAACAGGAAACAAGTTTTTCACATGTATGCGTGGGTTGTTGGTGTGAGGGTCATCAGCCAAGTACCATATGCCATTGGGATGCAGGGTCACAGTTGCATATAAACATGTCGGGTTTTTTTTTTTTTTATTGTGAGTGTGTGTATGGGGGGAGATGTAAAAAAGGTGGAAAAAGGACAAACATTAGTAATGGCGTTCTTTTTTTATCACAAAAGGCAGGAAACAAGTTTATAACACACACACACATAATTGTGCACTCGTTTCTAAATAGCAATTAAGCTTATAGAGTTGCTTGCCATTGTTTTAGATTTTATTAGTAATGGAATTTATACAAACAAGCTTTTACCTTTCGGATGAATAAGCATAATCCTGATCGGCTCCCAAACCAGAATCGGTATGTTCATGTGATACTCGCAGTGCTGAATTTTCCATGGGACTGAGATTTGAACCGGTGGGTGAAATGAAATCACCCATACTCATGCTGGACATCATGCTGTAAAGGAGAGAGAGAGAGAGTGTAGACGAATTATTTGAATTAACTGTATATAAATGGATTATTCTCTTATTTTCGAAGAGAGTAATAGTTGTAAAATAATAGTCTCAAAGATAAGAAAAGTGAAGAAATATTAGCCTTAAAATGTTCAATAAATTTCTCTCTTTGCTTGGGAAGTTGTACCGAAAAAGGGAACTGTTTCAATTGAATATACGTATTTCAGAGATGTAAATCACAACGTGAAAAATAGATTCATCATTTTCTGCATAGAGATAGATTCTGAGTTTAGAAGTACAATAACATTAATAGATATCAAAAATAGTGCATAAAAGTTCTAGGGAAACAATTTAAAAATGTGCTTTCCACAGGAACTATTCAGGGTGTGATGGAAAAACTGCACCCAACTTCTAAGCCAATCGTCCGACAGCTGTTAAAATTATTCCAGTGACATTTCATTATATTGTTTACAAGCGTACAAAAGCATTTTCGTGAGAATTTTTCGTTAAAAAAGTTATTCGTGATAGAATCCAAGTGTGATAGTACGTTTTATTTGTATTTGGCTGGAAAACCACAAGTGGCTATCGTTAGAGCACTCTAGCATTTAAATGTGAATAAATCTTTTGTGTCTCGTACCATCGCTCGTTACCGTGATACTGGAAGCGTAGCCCGACCTCAAGGAAGTGGACAGAAGTAAACAGCAACATCAGCAGAAATGGTTCGAAAAGTAAAGAAGCGACTTGATCGAAACTCGCTTCGCAGTGACCGAAAAATGGCTCGTGAGCTGAACATATTGCAATATTTCATTCGGTAATTATTGAAAAATGAGCTCGGGGTAAATCCATTGAAATTCCAAAAAGTACAGAAACTTACACCGCAACATAAAGAAAATAGACTCAAAAGAGCTAAATAGTTGCTTCGCTTGGCCAAATGTGGTGAATTGCCGCATTTGCTTTTCTCCGATGAGAAAACATTCGTTGTCCAGCAGTTTGTAAACAAACAAAATTATCGTGTTTACTTGTCAAAGAGGTCAGCTGAAAATGTGCACCTTCGGTTGGCAAGAACTCAAGCGCCGGCATGGTGATGGTGTGGGCCGCCATGGCAACCGATGGTCGCTCTCCACTATTATTAATCGACCGTGGCATCCGAAGAAATGCCGAGTATTATAGCGGAAATATTCTGGAGGGTGTATTGAAGCCTTGGGCCCGCAAATATTTTGGACGCAGACCTTGGACATTCCAACAGGACTCAACACCATCGCACTCAGCACGCGCCACCCAAGTATGGTTACAAAATGAGGTTCCTCACTTCATTTTCAGAATCTCCGGATACCAATCCCTTGGACTGTTGTGTCTGGAGTTTTTTGGAATGCAAGGTTGGCACTAAAAAATACCAAAGTGTCGATCACCTCAAGCAAGCGCTTCGCCGGGAATGGACCAAAATGCCGCAGAGCAACATTCGGACAACATGTGACGGATTCATTGGCCGTTTGAAGACCATAATTCGTGCCAAAGGTGACCGATTCGAACAAATCCAAACTTATTTTGAAAGTTGATGCTATTTCTGACATTTTTTGCTTTGATTCAATAAAGTTAAAAAAAAATGTAAAAATTATGGCGTTTGCCTTTGTTACAGTTTTTTTATCTCACCCTGTATGTATTAGTCCTATTTCACATATACATTATTTCGCATAAAGTCCAATACATGTAGAAATGTGTAAGATATTAAATAATTAACCCTTACTATTTTTGTCCTTTCCCTAATGATTTGTAGAAATTTATTTTCGAAGCAGAAACTTAAGAATACATACATATCAATTAAACTTTTAAATTCTCAACACAATCAAAATATATATCCATTGAAAAATACTCACCGTACTAGACCGCTATTTCGATCGCACTCCCTTGATGATATTGTACTGGCTGAACGTATTGAACCATTTTTGGCACCATTACTATCATTGGGATTAGAATTTTGGTAACATAAGCTACGGTATACACAAATACGATAATAACACAACAAAAATAGACAATGACCGCCAAAGGCCATTGTATCATTGACATTCAAAACACCAACCATCCTCAAAACAAATACTTACCCTCTAATGCGATCGACACGATTTTTACCATGGCCACTTATTGAACCGCCACTACCATTGGTTATGGTATTACCCGAACCGGTACTCTTACCGCCTACACTATTTTTACTGTTACTCTTGTGGATGCGTATATTGGAATTGGAACGTTTGGATGTTGTCTCCACAACGGTGTAGGGAATCTCGCGCAACTGATCTTCGGTCATACCGGCCGTATCGACCAAATCAAATTGCAAATGTTTGGCTAATTCACTGTTCCAAATGCGATTGCGTGAATCCGAGGGGGATCTATGAGGAGGAGAGGTAGGGGAAAGAAGTACAGTTATTTAATTTCCATCATTATTTATTACTATTGAAGAGAACTCACTTATTCTTTTTGTGTCTCCTTGACTTGTGATGCGAATGCGTATCCGAATGCGAATCGTTGCTGTGCAGGCTACGCGCCACCATACTGCTCTTCGATACCGATGCCTGTTGCACCGAACTTTGGCCTAGACTAGCTTCTTGCTGGCGCCGTTGAGCCTCACGCCATTGTGTACTTGAATCAACCAGCTCTGAGTGAGATCCAATGGCACTGGCACTGCGTGCTGTCGATGAACGATGACCTGAGTAGCTACGTCCCCGAGTACTTTCATGATCTGAGCCACCGGAGTCACGTCGATGACGTGATCTGCGATGTTTTCGATGATGTGAACGTCCCGAGCGACCAGATCCTCGCGACAGCTCACTTTCGTTGTCGGAAGTTCGCCTGTGGCGATGTTTGTGTCTAAAAAAAAACATGAAATGAATTAACAATATTTTTAAAAGAAAATACGGACCGATATTAAATGATTATATAAAAACCACTGCCATTTCAAACAAGTAAGCAAAGGCTATAGTCGTGCGGGGCCGACTATGTTATACCCTACAACACTCGATTGGCTTCAATTGTGTGATCGGAAAAACATTTCTGTTTTTGGTTAATTTGAACCTCTAAATATTTTGCAATAATCTCCAAGAGCAAGAAGCCCCTCAGTATCTCCAAATTTAGACTAATCTATATGATTTGCTTGTCTACGATATTTCGTCAACGAAATCAGCATAAAAAAGCCAGAAGTTCGGCTTTTGTGTATTTCGGATATCGCCTGTAAGTAATGCTGGTATTTTTCCACACAAAATTAGTGGTCCATGTGAAATTTGGTGTCCTTTGGTTTCTATTTGTGACTATTATAACGGCTTCAAAATCAGGAACATTACGGACATTACGGACATCTTTGAAAAGAATAAGCCTAGCCCCTCTGAGCCTAACCCCACCCTTGTCAAAATTTTCGTGAGGATCGGACGATATTTGCAATACTTATATAATTTCCCCAACCTGTGTTTTAAGGTGGAAAAAAATTACAAAATATTATAAATAAAATTGAAAAAATCGCATGCGATAAAAAATATGAAAAAATAAAAAATATGTCACAAAATACTACAAAATTTATATTAACATCATTATTGGTATCATTTTATGCAATTTTCTTAGGTTTTATTCTTTTATGCCAAGAGGGCATTCTGAATTGATAACATTTGTCGAAATCGGTCTAGCCATTCTTGAGATATAAGCATTCTAGCTAAAATCCCCTTCCTTCTATATATACATTGTGTATATTTCGCTATATATAACCGATATATTTACTATCGGCATCTACGTAACGGTCAGAATTGACCTGTTCGTCAATTTTTGATTTCACCGGGAGTAAACATATTCGCGATTTAATGGAAAATTTGACTTTTATTTAACACAAATGTTATGGTCTATTTCACCCACCAAATATTACCCGATGACCCTCAAAATTGGACGGCTTCTGCCCAGCTCTAAGCTCTAGCCCCATGCTAACTTCTGCGTCGATTGGTCTATAATTGCGACCTGTAGAACAACTGCAAAATCAGACAATTTTTCAGTATTTGGTCCATTTCAACCCCTAAATATTATGCTATCATCTCCGTTCTATTCTGACCCTAGCCCTATCTTCATTCTAATTTTCGTGAAGATCGGGCCATAATTGCGACCTGTAGAGTGATTACAAATTAACATGGACAGACGGACGGACGGACATACATAGCTAAATCGACTCAGCTCGGCGAGATAGGAAGATCCATATATACTTTCCTATGTGGGAAACGAATATTTCGTGGTGTTACATAATTTTTGGCCCAATCAAACTTATAATACCCCCAACACATAGTGTTGCAGGGTATAAAAATACTGGTTTTATAATCAAAATCCAAGTTATTATAAAAAATGGGGATTATAGAAAAATTGTCAGAAAATGGTTCTAAATTCGTGGTGTTAAATTCTGTGTTTTTGAAATTAATACTTTGTACCTTTGTATAGCGGTAGAATCTTGTGGGTCACTATTTTTGTTGTACCCGAGGTAAGGAAATATGTACAAAGTTTGGAAATATGTACCAAGAGCTACTAAGGAGTACCTTATATATTACTTTTAGGTGGAGAATTTTGAACTTCGGTATGTAGATTTGTCTTACGTAAATAAAGAGATCCAGTGATAGATTAATTAGAAAAGAGTATTTTTAACCCTCCACCTTGGAAAGGAGGGTATATTAACTTTGTCATTCCGTTTGTAACATCCTTAAATATTCGTCTTTGACCCCATAAAGTATATATATTCATGATCAGCATAAAATTCTAAGTCGATTTAACGATGTCCGTCTGTCTGTCCGTCTGTCTGTTGAAATCACGATACAGCCCACATTATTTGACGTAGAGCGCCAAAATTTAGCAGAGCTATTTGCATTGTGTCTAGGATGGTTGGTATTGAAAATGAGATATATCGGTCCACGTTCTGGTATAGTCCCCATATAACGGTACCTCCCGATATTCGGTATTTTGATGATTTATGCCACATTTTTTCACGGATTTGTCTGGAAATTGGTATTTGTAGGTCATAACGGGTCCCTGAGCGTGTGGCAAAACATTGCATGTGTAGGTCCACGTTGTGGTATAGCCCCCATATAAAGGTACCTCCCGATATTCGGTATTTTGATGATTTATGCCACATTTTTTCACGGATTTGTCTGGAAATTGGTATTTGTGGGTCATAATGGGTCCTAGTTCGTGTGGCAAAACATTGCATGTATAGGTCCACGTTGTGGTATAGCCCCCATATAAAGGTACCCCCCGATATTCGGTATTTTGATGATTTATGCCACATTTTTTCACGGATTTGTCTGGAAATTGGTATTTGTAGGTCATAACGGGTCCCTGAGCATGTGGCAAAACATTGCATGTATAGGTCCACGTTGTGGTATAGCCCCCATATAAAGGTACCTCCCGATATTCGGTATTTTGATGATTTTTGCCACATTTTTTCACGGATTTGTCTGAAAATTGGTATTTGTTGGTTATAATGGGTTCCAGCTTCGGTGGCGAAACATTGCATTTATGGCTCCATGATTTGATATAGCCCCCATATAACGGTACCTCCCGATATTCGACATTTTTATGGTTTTTGACACATTTCTTCTAATGTTTCTTTTACCCTAAGGTGGAGGGTATTAAAAGTTTGGCCCGGCCGAACTTAATGTTTTTTACTTGTTTGTACTAAAAAAGGTACAAATAGTACAAGGTGCGAAATACTTGAGATAGAATCCCTTAGTTCGGCAAGAAGCTCTCTTCTGGTGTGAAGACAGTCAGAACGATATGGAGAGAATGGAAATTTGTATAAAAAATGTAAAAAAGAAACCTTATCCTCCAAAGTATTTTTTAGAATAATGAGTTTTAGTAAAAATTTTGATTCTTTTGAGATTCAGATAATCAATATTCGCAGGTGGTTCAAGGCATAAGATATGTTGTCAAAAATTCATTCTAAATTGGTACTAATCTTCTAAAATGGTACAATCTGGTATTATGTGAACGAATAGAACTAGAAACTGGAAATTTGGAATCAAGGTTTTAAAGTAAATTTGATATATGAAGATGGTTTGGGAAATGTGTACTAAGTGTGCGATCTGTACTAAATGGTACTCAATTTTGAACAGTTTGGCTTAGGGTAAACGGATGAAGCTGAAATTGTAATATTTTGTATTGGGTGGTACGTTTGTGATACATTGGTAGTTTTGGAAATGTGTACTACAAGTGTACGAAAAGTACTTAATAGTACTATATTTGGTACTACATTTGATATTGGGTGAACAGATAGTGCTTGAAATAGGAAACGTTGGTATTAGGTTCGCTGTTCATATGTATCCTAACTAATATGGAGGTGGTTTCGAAAATGTGTACTACGAAAAATACGAAATTTGGTATATACAATTCTGAAATTTGTTATTTAGATTACTGATGGTATCTGTGCTTGAGATTTGCCAGTGGTTTGGAAATGTGTTCTATATTTGTACGAAAAGTATTAATTGGTACTAAATTCGACATTGGATAAAGGGATAGGTCTGGAATCTTCAAATTTGATATCAGGTATGGAATTGAGATATGGAGGTTGTTTTGGAAATGTTTGCTATAATTGTATGAACGAAAGACTAAATAGTAATAAATTTGGTATGGATTGAAGGAATCTGATCTTCATCCGATATAGTGAAATGTGATATGAATTGGTTTTTCCGTTGCTTGAAGGAGCTAATTTTAGATAAGCATACTATAGTTGTACTAAAAGGTACTGAATTTGGTAATTGGGGTTATTATTGAACTGAAAACTTGAAATGTTACATAAAGTTCACTGTTGTGATCTAAGGCTGAGATAGGGAGATTGTTTTAAAAATCCGCACTTCAACTGTATGTAAAAAACTAAATGCTACTAAAATTGGTATTCGGTGAAGGTCACTATACACCCTAGCTTTTTTCAAAGAAATGTGGAATTATGGACACTTTAAGCGTGAAGGGGTATAAAAAGGTACTAAATCTAGAAATGCCTTACACTATGTGATTTAAGAGCTAGAATCTTGGAATTTTTTTATGCGTGTATGTGGAGCTCTGAAGCTTGTTATTAGGGGGCTGAGAACGACAAAGTGCAAGGGAAATTCTACAAAAAAATGTACTAAACATGAAATGTGCTAAAGCCCGTGTTTTCAAAATTTTACAAATGATACAAATCAGTGAAATATTAAGAAGAAGATATCTATAAGTTCTTAATATCGAGTTTTGAATTTGGGTATGTAGAAGTGTTTAACGAATTTATATTTTCAGAGGATTCCGATTAGACAAATGGTACGACATTGAGTTTAAAAAAGTACTGAATATACTAAATATGGTGGAGTATATACTAAAAATTCAGAAATATGCAATGAAGAACACTTATGTAGCGAAGAGTTTGCAAAAGGTACCAAGAAGTATTAAATAGTGTATTGAAAGAGTTAGACTTCTGGACTATGATATGTTTGATATGTACGTACCAATAAAGCTAGGTACAAAGAAGCAGAGGTAAAATCATAAAATTATGCAGAAGGGTCATCTCCGCTGTGAAGGGCGTCGAAAATGACGGAATGTGCGGAAAATTATACCAATAAAGTACTAAATACTGAAAAGTAATAACATCTGCATTTTGGTGTTGAAACTCTGTATTTCCAGGGTTAATTTATTTTCAATTTCTTATGTAAAAAGACAGAGTTCTGGAAACTCGTACTAAAAGATACTAAGTAGTACCAATCATTATTTTCTTAGAGTTGGGAATTGGTTTGAGCAATACAGCTAAAATGTTTATTTTAATTCCCTCAGCTACAGAGGGTATAAATCTTTTTACACGGCCAAAACATGCATCATCGAAATAACGATTTAAGGCTCTAGGTCTCTTTGGGCCAAATCCGTTTCAGGACATTTGAAGTCGATCTAGGGGTATCCGTCCGTCTGTGTTTCTGGCTGGTGCGCGGGAGTATCCGATTTGTTTCAAACTTGGTACCTGGTAATATTATAATCAAATTTAGATCGATTTCGGAGATGGGCAAAATCTGTCCACTCCTTCTGATACATCTCCCAAAAAAATCAAGTTTCCATAGAAAATAATTATTTTATTTATTTTTTCTTTCTTTTATTTTATTATTTTCGTTCAAACTTTACAAATCCCAATATTCTTGTCAGCACTAGGTCAGGAGCGAAATAATAATATTGAACCACTCCATCGAGTACCTCCCTCACAAAGGGTCAATATTTTGAGTATTTATAACTCCTATAAAATGTGAAATAAGGGTCCGATTTTCTTCACTTTGCATAAATCCCGATATTTTTACTAAAACAAGATCAGCTATGAGACTCATAATGAAATTTCATCTAGAATAATTCTTAGTTTGAGACTTTTCCAAAAATGAAGTATTAAGGAAGATTTTTACTCGAATTGTAGTAAAGCCGAATTATAGTGAAATTTTGTGTAGAATATTTCTTCTTTTGACAACTTAAATTCACGGATTTAGAGTAATCTTAATCTGGAAGTTGGAAATTTAAAAATAAAGCGACAGTTCTAAAAAAAATAAAAAAATTGAGAAAATTGCAAATTTCCAATTTTCCTCAAAACGACACCAAAGTTTTTCATAGTCGTTTAATTGAGCCCACACGCTCTATTCACTTTACAACTGTTACCCGGTTATTTTCCCTCTTCATAAAATCCCCCCTACACCCATTTTCTTTTGGTTTAATCTTATCTCGTAAAAAATGATAATTTTGATATTCATTATCTCTGACAAATTCAATTACCTTCGCGTAGAACGTGAATCATTTGAGGAATGACTTTCCACTGAACTAGATCGATAGCGTTGCTGTTGATGACTATGGGTTCCCGATGCTGCCGAAGATACGTGATCACGTTGCGAGGAACGTGAATGCGTATGATGTGAATGCTGATGATGATGATGGCCACTACCGTTGTGGCCGAGACTACCGCCGCCTCCGCCACCACCTCCTCCGCCTCCAACACCACCACCGCCGCCACCTGTGGTGCTGGCCGATCTCACTGAACGTGGACTTGAAGGTTTATTGCCAAACAACGAACGCTGTTGAGTCCTTGGCCAGGGTGCACTACGAGTACTACGCGGAGAATCAGGTGCCTGCACGGAATTGTTGTTGTTGCCACCATTGTTATTGTAATTGCTTTGACTGTGCGGCATAGTGTGCTGTGATGGCTGATGGTGATAGGGATTAATGCCCAGACTAGTCGGTATACTGTATGTGGATCGATAGGGACTCTCATAGTTGCTGCAAATGGATAAAGAACAAAATTGAGATAGATGGTGAGAAAGAAGACACGCAATTTTTCTGGGTAACCAACCAGCCAGTCAGCCACCACGCAACCACTCGTTTTGGTTGGTTGCATGACGACAATACTGATGAGGGTTTGTATTTACCCAATAAAAATTGATCAATTACATTGCCATAAATATAAATTGTTTAATCATAAATCTAAATTAAAGGTAGTTACATGCAACGCCACACACACACACAAACGTAAATTATTTTATGTCGGTTAGACGTTACAACATCTTGGACACATGGACCTCCTATGTTTAAACAACTTGCAGATTTGCTCCACCTTAAAGATCAACATATGATCAATTTTCGTAACCAATAGCTGAACAATTGGCAATACGAAGAAGAAGATGAAAAAAATCGAAATACGAAGATATTGCAAAGAAAATCGGAAAATAGCCGGAATGAAAAATGAAGAAATGTTATGTGTTTGTAATTGAGTAATTACCTCAGCGATTTGTTTCGCTCAATTTGCAAATGGCACAGTGTTCGAAAAGTTCATTTTCTTATAAATAGAAAATACCTAAAAAATATTTTGAAATTATGAGATTACGCATTTTTACCTCCCAATAACCTAAATGAATTAGACATCGTCTACGTAAATGAGAGACATTATAATATGCGCTAATAGAACTGAAGCCATGGGGCTATATGACAACTAAGAGCTTAACGGCTTATAAAACTCTGCTCTCAGGATTCACTAATTCGTTTCCTCTCAATCTCGAATACAGAGTGAAGAAAAACTGGGGACAGTCCTTAGATTAAAACTAATGTACGAACGGCATTACCTAAAGAGGATAATTTATGTACCAAAGCGTTTTTTCCGGATTGATTAGAATTTTACTGTATGAGAGCGGGAGTATAGGATGGGATGGAAAAGCACTAAGATTGGGAAAATTCGAAACAGAAAGGACAAAACCCCCTATAGGAGAGCAGTCAGTTACTGCAGCAGATTTTCGATCGACATAAGTGGAGGAATTTTTAAAATTACGTTGAGAATAAACAACTTGAGGGAATTTTCAATGAAAGAATCCGTACTGATCAACCAGCTATCCACTAGGTTGGGACCACCGACGCAGCCAGAAATAACTTTCGAAAGAATGCCTTTTCAAACAAAATTCTGTAAAAATATTATCATACCCAGGCTACGTTAGTGGTTCAAATAGCCACTCAATATCATTCTTCATAAGTAATTATTTGACATCGCCTGTAGTGCCCATTACGAACTTTAAATACGAAATTGGAAAGAATTTCGGTAAAATATGTATATTTTCAAAATAACGAATAAAGGAAGGTACCGTTGTAAGGGGGCTATAGGATTTCATCGACCTATACAGGGTGAGATGAAAAAAACAGCAACCAACTTCAGACTGCTGTCATTTCAAAGACACTCGTCCAACAACTTTTAAAATTATTGCAGCGACAGCTCATTGTATTGTTTACAAGCGCACAAAAGCATTTTGGTGAGAATTTTCCAGTAAAAAGTTATTAGTTATAGAATTCAAGCGTGTTAATGTGAATACTTTATATTTGGCTGGAAAACCACAGGTGGCTATGTTGAAAAATGAGCTCGAGGTAATGCATTGAAATGCCAAAAAGTGCAAGAACTTATACCGCAACAGAAAGTATATAGACTCAAAAGAGCTAAAGAGTTGCTTCACTTGGCCGAAAGTGGTGAACTGCCGAATTTGGTTTTCTCCGATGAGAAAGCTTTCGTTGTCCAGCAGTGTGTAAACAAACAAAATGATCGTGTTTACTTGCCAAAGAGGTCAGGTGAAATTGTGCACCCTCGGTTGGCCACCAGAACTCAAGCAACGGCCGTGGTGATGGTTTGGGCCGCCATAACAGCCGATAGTCGCTCTCCGCTCGTGTTAATCGACCCAGAATATATTCCGAATATTATCACGAAAATATTCTGGTGGGTGTATTAAAGTCTTGGGCACGCAAACATTTTGGCCGCAGAACTAGGACCTTGGATTCCAACAGGACATAGCACCATCGCACTCAGCACGCGCCACCCAAGAATGCTTACAAAATGAGGTTTCTCGCTTCATTTCCAGCGCACAATGGCCACCAGAATCTCCGGATACCAATCCGTTGGACTATTGTGTCTGGACTATTTTGGAAAGCAAGATTGGCACAAAAAATACCAAAGTGTCGATCACCTCAAGCAAGCGCTTCGCCGGGAATGGACCAAAATACCGCAAAGCAACTTTCGGGCAGCGTGTGACGGTTTCATTGTCCGTTTGAAGGCCATAATTCTTTCCAAAGGTGACCAATTCGAACAAATCTAAACTTATTCTAAAATTTGATGTTATTTCCGACATTTTTTGCTTTCATTCAATAAAATTGAAAAAAAAAAATACAAATTATGGCGTTTGATTTTGTTGAATTTTTTTTCTCACCCTGTATATCCTCCACTATACTAAGTATAAAAAGAAAGTACGAAGAGTTTGCCGACGTCACTTTTTGAAAAATGTCTACAAATAACATGGACCCAAGAAAAAACCTTTCTGCCAAAGATCATAGAGCTCAATAAAAACGTTAACTGCCAAATAATATTACAATATAACAAGTTTGGACCAAATCGGATACTCCCTTCGAGAGTTATCGTGCCCACCTACCAGCCAAACAGTCGAACTGACGGACACCCCTACATCGACTCCAAATGTCCTCAAACGGATTTGGCCCAAAGAAGGTATGAAGGTATAAAAAGGCAGCTTAGTTCGACTAGGCCGAACTTTGAATGTCCTCCACAAATTGGAAGGAACTTGCAAACGGTAAAAAAATCTCTTCAAAATTCTGCTATAACTTTAAAAAAATATGAACATCAGTTGTTACTGTTATATGGGAATATACGAAAACGTGGACCTTTACAGGCAATTATCTGGCAAAGAAGGTGGTGCCTATCGCGAATTTGAAACACCAATTTTGAAACAATTCCGGTGAAAAGTATGCCATGAATCATCAAAATACCGAATATTTTACAGTTATATGGGGTTTTTACAAAAACGTCTTCTTATCGCCGATTCCAAATACCAAGTTTGAGACAATTCTGCTGAAAAATATAGCAAATATCCTTACAATAACGAATATATGGAGGCACAGTCATATGGTGCCCATTTCAATACCAAAAGTTCTCCAGAATTAAAAACATCTGTGTACAATTTCATTTCGTTCGGAATCTAGAGTGAAATGCAGACGGACGGGCATTTATAAATCGACATATATACAGGGTGAGATAAAAAAAAACTGAAACAAAGTCAAACGCCATAATTTTTGCATTTTATTTTTAATTTTTTTGAATGAATGCAAAAATTGTCGGATATATCATCAAATTTTAGAATAAGTTTAGATTTGTTCGAATTGGTCACCTTTGGCACGAATTATGGGCTTCAAACGGTCAATGAACCCGTCACACGATGTCCGAATGTTGCTCTGCGATATTTTAGCCCATTCCCGGCGAAGCGCTTGCTTGAGGTGATCGACCCTTTGGTATTTTTTAGTGCCAACCTTGCTTTTCAAAATACTTCAAACATAATAGTCCAACGGATTGTTATCCGGAGATTTTGGTGGACATTGTGCGCTGGAAATGAACCGAGTAACCTCATTTTGTAACCATTCTTAGGTGGTGCGTGCTGAGTGGGATGGTGCTGAGTCCTGTTGGAATATCCAAGATCTGCGGCCAAAATGTTTGCGTGCCTAAGGCTTTAATACACCCTCCAGAATATTTTTGCTATAATATTCGGCATTTATTCTAATGCCATCGTCGATTAATACGAGCGGTTAGCGACCATCGGCTGTTACGGCGGCCCAAACCATCCCAATGGCCGGCGCTTGAGTTCTGGTGGCCAACCGAAAGTGCACATTTCCAAGTAAACACAATAATTTTGTTTGTTTACAAACTGCTGGACAACGTAGGTTGTCTAATCGGAGAACCAAATTCGGCAACTCTTCACTTTCGGCCAAGTGAAGCAACTCTTTACCTCTTTTGAGTATATTTTCTTGCTGTTGCGGTGTAAGTGCATACAGTTTTTTGGAATTTCAATGGCGTTACCCCGTGCTCAATTTTCAATATTTGCCGAATGGAATATTGCGATACTGCGACGCGGGCTTCGATCAAGTCGCTTCTTTACTTTTTTAATCATTTCTGCTGATGGTGCTGTTTTCTTCCGTCCACTTCCTTGACATCGGGTTACGCTACCAGTAGCACGGTAACGAGCGATGGTACGAGACACAAAAGTTTTATTCACATTTAAATGCTGGAGTGCTATAACGATAGCCACTTGTAGTTTTCCAACCTAATATAAAGAAATCATACTATCACGCTTGAATTCCATCACGAGTTAGTGAGTGGAAAATTCTTACTAAAATGCTTTTGTACGCTTGTAAACAATATAATGAGCTGTCACTGGAATAATTTTTACAGTTTTTTAATAATTTTAACATTTTAAGAGATGAGTGGCTTAAAAATGACAGCAGTTTGAAGTTGGTGGCAGTTTTTTCATCTCACCCTGTAGAAATGGTTACAATCTACTAAATTTCGATGTTGACTAAAATATAGTACCTGAGGACAAATAGTTCATGACGTATAAACGTCATAGTTATTTATTTTTACATCTTCAAAAGACAATAATTTCACCTACATTCTTTCATAATCATGGCATGTTGGCAGATACAGGTATTTCCGCAAACCAATAAACGTTAGGTGTCTAATCAGTATGGATAATAAGCACATAGTTTCTTTTGTGTCGAAGTGTCGCTTATCGTTGATAGGGAGCTCCACTTGCCTTATTTCTCTTCAATTTCCGTATATTAGTTTTACTTTACACTATGCTAGATAGATATGGTAGATATTTGATATTTTACAGATTTTCTGTGATCAAATGATTTTCCTTCTGATTTACTTTGTTTTCAGACAATTTTCCTTCACGTGGGAAAAATGGACT